TGGTTTTCTTTTTCTTTGGGACGTACTTTGTGGCCGCCTCCTGAACAATGTCACGGACTTCTGTCCATAGTTCTTCTGGGACTCTGTTTACTAAATCTAGTCCTTCAAATCTGTTCTTCACTTCCACTGTATATTCGCTAGGAATGTTAGTGAGATCATATCTAACTGGTCTGTGTATTTTCCCTGATCTCTTTAGTTTTATTCTAAATTGGGCAATAAGAAGTTCGTGATCTGAGCTACAGACAGCCCCAGGTCTTGTTTTCACCAACTGGATGGATGTCCGCCACCTTTGGCTGCAAAGGATGTAGTCAATCTGATTTCGGTGTTGACCGTCTGGTGAGGTCCATGTGTAAAGCCGTCTTTTAGGTTGTTGGAAGAGAGTATTCGTTATACACAGCGAGTTTTCCTGGCAAAATTCTATCAGCCTGCGTCCCGCTTCGTTTTGTTCTCCCAGACCATGCTTGCCTGTGATCCCAGTTGTCATTTGACTTCCCACCTTGGCATTCCAGTCTCCTGTAATGAAAATAATGTCTCTTTTTGGTGTATTATCCAGTAGGTCCTGCAGATCCTCATAGAACTGATCTACTTCTGCTTCTTCAGCAGCTGTGGTTGGGGCGTATATTTGGATCACTGTAATGTTGAAAGGCTTTCCTTGCACTCGAATTGAGATCATTCTGTCATTTTTGGGTTGTATCCAAGCACCGCTTTAGCGAATTTCTTATTAATTATGAAGGCTACTCCATTTCTTCGATGTTCCTCTTGTCCGCAGTAGTAGATCTGGTGGTCATCTGATGTGAAGTGGCCCATTCCAGTCCACTTCAGTTCGCTGACCCCCAGAATGTCTATCTTTAGTCTTGACATCTCGCCAATAACAACATCCAATTTGCCCTGGCTCATAGATCTTACATTCCAGGTTCCTATGGTGTGTTGATCTTTAGAGCATCGGATTCGTCGTTCACCTCCAGTACCGTCGGCCGCTAGCCTTCCTTTCGGCTTTGGGCTAGCTGCGTCATCACATCTGGGGCTAGTTGAACTTATCCTCTGCTCCTCCCCAGTAGCATTTTGGCCATCTTCCGACCTGGGAGTCCCATCTTCCAATGGCATACCGACATATCTCTGGTTGTACTGGTCCATTTAGTTTTCTTGGCAAGGATACTGGAGTGGTTTGCCATTGCCTTCCCCAGGGATCACGCTTGGTCTGACCTCTCTGCCACAACCGTCCCGTCTTGGGTGTCCCTTCACGGTTTCGCTCATGACATCATTGAGGTGCTCAAGCTCCAGCGCCCCGACAAGGCGGTGATCCTTTGCTGGAGAAGCATATTCTACACACACAGAAAAAAACATTTTAACTGGATTAGGGTGGGATTAAAAGTAGACTGAGATTCCAATATGATTCCAATATGATCTGTAATAAAGAATATGAAGGGTCATAATTCTTCTAGACTGAAAGATCAAGATGGATGGGATTCCTTGGATTACAGTCTAGTACAACCAGTTGCATGCTTGGAGATTTTACCTTCCCTTGAACCCTGAGCTTTTCTGTAATTCACGGCACGGAGATATAATAGAATGAATGATAGGCAGTTACCATGAGGACATATTAGTTTTACCTTATTTTGTCTCCCCCAGCTATACCCATACATTTTAAAGTGTAATATTCTGGATGGCATGATTTTAATATTGAATGCAATTTTAAAATGTTTAATATGCATTAATTTTAGTTCAGTAGATTTTAAGCTTAATATTTTAATGTGTTTAAGATACTGAATAATTGCCAACTGTAATCCGCCTTGAGTCCCCCTTAGGGTAGAGAAAGGTGGAGTATAAATAGGGTTAACAAATAAAATATAAAATAAATAAATATTTGTCTGTTTGGCCACTTAGAGATGGTGACCAAAGTCCTCCAGAATACACAATGAATCATCTTTGCTTTAACACATCCTAACAGTCATGGGGCCTTAGTTGGAATAGTATAATTCATATCTAAGTAATGTGTTTTTGTGACTCTTCAAAAAGATTTGGAGACCTCTTTGGAACTAAGGAAATTGAATGCAAGATTTGTGGAGAAAAAACAGTTCAGTTGGAAATCATTGGTGTTGTTTTCTAGTGTTCTGTGAATGGACTGGAATGGAAAATAAGTTACTGGGGTTGGACAGATATATAAGCAAATGGATACTGGTTTCATTAAGACCTAACATCTTTCCAACGGGATCTGTTGAAATGAGCTACTTCACACTAGGAACTGTTTACTATCACAGATATCAATTATTCCAACATATTCTCATATCATATCCTCCTGGACTTGAATACTGTTGTACATATTTTACCGTATAGTTCATAATTCTCATATAATGTGTCCCCAAAAGTTTGTGGAATAAAATGAATGCCTTACCTGATGGCTGGAAGCTGCATTTAATCCAACTGTTTTGCCTTAAGTAAATAGTAGATCTGTCTGCCTTGAAAGGCAGGAAGGGTGGGGGGTAAAATGCAGTTGCAATCTATGAAACTGACTTGAAAAAAATATTTAAATTTAGCTTTGTGGTGCACTTCTTTGGGAAAATATATTTTTGTAATGGAAAAAATGATTGACATTGTGGCATTATGGAAAATAAATGTGCAGGGAATTGGCAACCAGCCGTGTTTCTTTGAAATGGACTAGATGGTGGGATTAGACAGACTTAATGTCACGTTTCCCATGGCCTGACCAGCTGAGATTTCATGGCAGGCTGGGCTTGTAGTTAGCATTAGACTGCATTAGGCAGGTAAGAAGATAAAACAACAGCTTTATGAGCAATGCACATTGGAGTACTTTGTGCCTTGAAGAGACATCCGTGCAAAGAGATAGTTTGACTTATACCATTAAAGAGCTGATAGCAACTAACTAATTAAATTACTTTATACTATGTGTGTACTTTTCTCCAAGTCATAGTACCATTTAAGCTTCACAGCATTACATAGTTTTGCTTTGGCTACTAAGTGCATCCAGGAGTGCTCCTTATTCACAAGCAGTACTATATAAGGAAAAGGTGCCATTGGTGCACTGACACTGAGAGTTAGTGTAGGTGATTAAAGCATTGGACTGGGAATTGGGAGATGGAGTCCTCACTGAGCTATGAAATCATTGGATGACTTCGGGTCAATTATTCGCTCTCAGCCTGACTTATCTTACAATGTTGCGGAGACTAAAACACTGAGATGAAAAGCCATGCAGGAACACCTTTGTTTTTGCTCACTAAAGACAAGGTGGGATGTAGACTTAGCAAATAAATAAAATTCAGGGGCTGGAATCCTGTTGGTGACGTACAAAGGCTACCTTCAGTTTGCACCCTGGTCCTCCTCCCATAGTTGCCTTTCTGTTGGTTGGCTCTGAGTGCATGTGTATATAATCCAGCACCAAGAAACTAAAGGAAGGGCTCAGAGAGAGGACTGAGTTATGTCTCATTTAACGTTTCCCTATCCTAGTAGTTCTGTCATAAATGATATGCCTTATCCTTGTTTTTAGAGATGGGTTTATAATGCAAAGGCTCTAAGGGTGCTTTGTTTTATTTGAGCACTATCATTTTAAACTAGTCAGCAAAATAATCTAGTTTGCATGTACAGATCATCCTTGCACTAAGTATCTATGTTAAAGTTGTCTAGTAAAACCTCAAACATAATATTGTCTGAAAAACACTAAACTTGAAGTTGTCAAATAAAGTCTTGAATGTTTTAACACATAAAGAATTGCAGTTATCATATATCTTTCATGGGCACTGCTGCCGTGTATTCCACTGAGTAAACTGCATGTATAATTCTCCACTGCTGTGATGCCTATGTTTTCTGTACATGCAATGGAGTTTGAGAAATCATTCCCACAAGAGATCCTTGTATTGATGAATAGAATCACAGTCTGTTAAGAGAACCTCTTCAGAATTATTAATAAAAGATAATATTCTTTTATCCTGCCTTGATCATTTTACTCAATGATTTTTAGCTTATTGTAACAAGTAAATAATCAACATAGCACTTGTTTTCATTATCTTAGGGAGATATGGAAAGAGGGGGAAAGTCTGGGAGAGCAATTATAGAAGAGATGTATGTGTTTGTAGAATAAAAGCCCTTGTTCCATTTTTATTTACCATTGTGCTTCATTGTAGAAATCTGCACAAGTACAGTATATTCTGGCGTATAAGACTACTTTTTAACCCAAGAAAATCTTCTCAAAACTCAGGGGTCATCTTATACGCGGGTGTAGTCTTATGCATGGGAGTCGTCTTAACTCTATATTTTAACTGGAAAAATTGGGGGTCGTCTTATACGCCCAGTCGTCTTATATGCCGGAATATACGGTAATTGGTTTCTTGGTATATATGTTACCTTCTTCCTTCTTAATTAATACCCTGCTGACATTGAATGGCATAAAGTGAAATGAACTACAAGTATCATCATTTGTATCACTGATGAATTTGCAAAACCAAAAGAGACAATGGTGTGAATGAAAGGGTGATGTTAGTGGCAAGGCACATATCCAATAGGAATATTATGATATGTGTCATATCATAAGCACCCCAATTAGGATTTTAAAAATTAGCAGCTTCCTTGTGTTGGCCCCATTCTTAAGTTTGAGATTGCTTTTAATTGAAAGGATTGTTTTATACTGTGTAATTTTATTTGACATTGTATCTAGTATCGAGTAGAATAGCTTTATTGTCATTGTACAAATCGTCTATACAAAATACTGTCTATTCTAAATATTTTGTGGTATTTAATGAAGCATATTGTTGTATATTCTGTTAACAATTATATTACAGTGTTGCAACTTGTTCTGTGCAGAATCTTCAAAAAAACTTCACCTTAAAGGACACGCATTTCAAATAAATAAATAAATAAATGATGAGAAAAAAGTGTTGTTTTACCTCTTTCCTGAATTTGTAAAAATCAAACGCTTATAGCAACTGTAAAGCAGTAATTCATGAAAGCCAGGAACAGACCTGATTTCTGCCTTTGTTTTTAATTTTTAGGTGACATTTACGAAGAGGAAATTTGGGTTAATGAAGAAGGCTTATGAGTTGAGTGTTCTGTGTGACTGTGAGATTGCTCTAATAATCTTCAATAGCACCAACAAACTGTTCCAGTATGCCAGCACTGATATGGACAAGGTGTTGCTGAAGTATACAGAGTACAATGAGCCACACGAGAGCCGAACAAATTCAGATATTGTTGAGGTAAGAACAATCCCTTGATATTTCCCCCCTCTATACTTGCTATTCAAATCTGAACTTTTTTTCTATAGTTACTACTTGAAGAATCTGTATGTATATTCATTCTGCACATACCAAAATATTCATTTCAAGTTCAAACTATGTGGGTGGCTTGGTTTTCTTAATTACATTTGCTTTTGATTTTCTTTGCTTCACTTCTCTCAAATGCAGACATCTCAGGCTGTGTCTATACTGGACACTAAAATCAAGGCCAGTCCAGAAAGAGAGCATCATTCTGATCCCTCCTTGTTGATCACATTCTGAACTGGCCCCAGAGCAACCATGATGGTGTCCCCATGCACCAAGCCAAATCCTCTACAATGCCACATCTGTATCCAGATGATCCTGCTGGGCCAAGATCACATTATCTCTGCTGTCCCATCTTTATGTTACACTTCTCTCTGGTGAAGTTCCCCGTAAGAGCCCAACCATTTTAATCATGATCAGCAAGTAGGGAGCAGAGCGATAATCTCTTTCTTCTTGACCCTTTCTGATCTCAGCAAACATGACTGCAACAGTCAGGCTCTCACAGGAAGCATCTTGGCCTGCAAAGAAGAATGGCAGCAACACACTGATGACTAACCCCTTCCCTGTGCTGATCTCAGGGGAAGAGTGATGGTGGTGTGTGTGTCTGTGGACAATGGATCAGGCCAAATAGAAGCCACTCCAGTTGTTCACATAATACAAAACCCTGGAGTTTCTTGCAAACTTTGATGTATTCTGTGATGTGCCTACTGTGGAGCCAGGTTGGGTTCAGGGTTAAGAGGTCCATATTCTTATCAGAAATAATAATGTGTCGTGAAGACTAACAGCACTGGTTTTGAAGAGAATATGTGTTTTTCACAGCCTTACATGGATTCAGATTTAAAGGCTTCCTCTTTACCACCCACATTTTTGTAATGTGGTTGCAAGTTGAGCTTATTTTATAGGTCTAGCACGGTAACAGGAAAAATTAAGCAGCTCTTTCACTCACTCTCCCATATTATAAATAGCAGATTACCCATTGGAACAATTTCTAAATCCATGTTATTGATAAGTCATGATTAAGCTAAGCAAAAAAAAAATTGCCAACGTTTGAAATAAACAGATCTGTTTATCAAGTAAGCTGTTACATAGTGCAAAGTAGCACTGCAGGGATGAGGGCAGGGAAGGAAACAAACCGACTGACAGATTGACTTGATATTAAAGTCATTGTGTCCTTGAGGTATTTGTTCAATATATTTTGAAATAAATATTTTGCTACTTTGCAGAGAGTAATAGAGGAGCATTGATTCCCAGATGCTTTGTAGTTCTTGGTTGGTATAATCGATTTACTCTGTGATCTTAAGGCAAGAAAAAGATGTAAGCAGATAGTTGAGTCACCTCAGCCAACCTTAACATTCTTCAACAAATACTTATTTCACTGTAATGATCTCAGGGATTTTTGCTGCTGATTTCAGTGGAGCCAGAATTTAAGTGCCTGTCTGCCTGGTTGCTTCCTGTGGTTCTGGCTCTATGCTTTAATGCGAATCCAGCAGTGTACAAAGTAGTGTCACCAAAATTTTTAAAAGTGTGTTTTCCTTCCTGAAATGCCACCCATGTTGATACTTGGTCTGTTTTACCATTAACTCACAGGGTTATGTGATTGCAAGGGTACCGTATAGTTGGAAAGGTTTGGACTTTGCATTTCAGCTTTCCAAAATATTTAAGATAAATGCAAACTGATATAATATCATTTGTTCCTACTGAACTGTATGAGAAAATGTTTAAGCGCAGCATGTAAAATCTAAGTTTTAGTTTGGCCTTAATATTGACATTGACTATTAACTTAGAAATACTTTGTATCTGCCTCTCTCTTTTTTTTCTTTTTTTTTTTCATACTATCTTAAAAATGAGAGAAGGCTCTGTTTGTGGAATTCATTGCCATTTTTGACAGTGTTTAGAAAAAACTTAATGGCAAGGAATGAATTCTCACTACCCATACTGGTTGGAGAATTCTGTTATTCATAGTCAAAAGAAGTAACTTTTCCAGGCTCTGTTTTTTGTGCTCTAGACAAATTAGTGAAGCGATGGTGACACTCTGTCTGATATCTTTGAGCTCTCAGACATACCACTCCTTCCTTGCCCATCCAGAATTTCTCGGTGGTTTGGCATGCCCTAATATGGACACCTTCACAGACGTACACCAGCTTGACATTCCCTTCCCCTGCATTTGTGTCATGGCCTTGTTAGAGATGTACTTTTTCACAAATATTTTTATGGCACTGTGAAGTAACATAATAATTTCCCAAAACATTAAGAAGCAAGCCCAAGGGCAAAGACCCTGAGAAAAAAGTGCTCCACCCTTGGATGCTGTGATTATGTGTACAGGATATAGATCTATAGTCAACATGGAAAATCCAGCGTTTTTTAGATTTTTTTAAAGGGACTTAGAATTCTCTGCTGTGAGAACTCTAGTATAGCCTCACAGCCCTACAACTCTCTAGAAGAAAATTCTGTTATTTCCTAGACTACAAATTTTACAGCATTGTAGAATAGAACCATGGCAGTTAACATGGTATCAGGCTGCTACTGTTGTGTTATATAATCATGTAGTGTATATACCTTCTCTCTTTCATCAAAAGGTCTTCCACACTCTTGTCTGCAGAGCAGAATTATTAGCAAAAATGGAGGCTTAGTAGCTTTTACTTTCCATGGTGCTTATTTTCAACTTGATTGAAATCTCCTTCTCATAACAACCAGTAGGAAAGAATGGAGTTAGTTAACTCCAACCTGTGTCTAAATTTCCCTTCTTCCTGGACTCTTATCGTGAATGAGGGGGCTTTGGCTTTGGGACCAGGACATCCAGATCTTCTTGTCCTCCCTCCTCTGTGTTCTCTTTTTTGCCACTCTATAAATTCTGTTGTTCTGATTCCAGCAGAAGCGGGGATCTGATGTCAGATATTTCCCTCTGATGTTAGAAATGTGTCAGTATCATGGAATAAGAGGTGTTCCACAATTTAGACCCTGCAACACAATTTTATGAGTTTGTACAACTAATGGAATAGCAGCTTTGATGTTATTATTTTTGGTTTAAATATGGTTGCAAAGGATGCTTACAAACTGTTGTATCCTTTAAAATAAAAGATGCTTGAAATAATCCAAAGCCATGGTCAACCACCATGATATTTTTCACATAATTAGACTTGTTGACAAAACATTGAATTGTGTAAAATCATTGGTTGTTTCCATAAAATGTGTTATTTTCTCAGGAGGGGGGAGTTTTTAGACCTTTCCTATAGGGGGTAGGGGAAGCCATAGCCATATTGAGAATTGTTTTCAAATATAGGAATTGTTAAGCAACATTAACAAAAAAAGATAAACAAAATGCCTTGTGTATTGTTTCTTCCCATATGGAGTACTAGCTGCTAAAATAGCTTACAAACATGAACGAGTGTGATTTTCTATATTCAGAGTGAAGTATGGAGTGCAGAGGTCATTCCAAATTCAGCTCAGTTTTGGGGTCAGAGGAAGTGGTTCAGCAGAGTGTGTGTGTGGGTGTCTGAAGTAAAGGGATCTTTAGCCAATTTTTTTCCTGTTGTAATTATATTATTTAACATGGTAATTAGCATCACTGTTGCCAGTAGAACAAATCAAGAAAACAAAAGTTGAACAGGCAGCAGCTTTATGCACAGCAAGTAACTTAAGTGCTTTGTCTTGGTGCAGAATAATTTCCCTCCTTCAAATGCTTAAGCATATCTGTCAAATTTTTTAAAAGCATAGCCTACTGAAATTAGAGGTATAGACTTAAGGTGCATTCACACCATAGAATTAATGCAGTTTGATACCATTTTAACTGCTGTAGCTCAATGATATGGAATTTTAGGAGTTGTGGTTTTACAAAGTCTTTAGCCTTATCTGCAAAAGAGGGATGCTCCCTCACTAAACTACATCTCCCATGATTCCATAGCATTGAGTCATGGCAATTAAACTGGTGTAAAACTGAATTAATTCTACAGTGTGGATGCACCCTAAATCAGCCTGCTACTCTCTCTGTGGTGGCAAACTTTAAAACTTTTTGCTAGCATTGAGCTAAGATTCTAGTTCCTACTTGTGATTTATATGAATCAATATATGCATTTTCATCCTTTCTATTTTATTTTCATCAAGATTACACACAAAAAAACCTAAAGCAATTAACTACTTTTTCAAAATTTTCAAGCAAGATGGATTTGCTCTATAAAGATTTAGCATCTGGTATGTTGGCCTTTTAATCAATCTAAGATTAGGTGTTATCACTCAGTACTATCAGAGATGTTATCACTCAAGACTTTATTCTTTCATTTTTGTCTCTCACTCAAGTACATGATGTTTTCTATACTGTTGATACACATGCAAGTGCTTGCTGCGTTGGAGCCTTCAAACATCTTGCTCTTGTTTACTTCCCCAATTACACCCGCCTCCTCAATTCCCACCCTTAGTTATACAAAGGGTATGGTCACAGATCTTCCAGACCCTGTGCATCAGTCTTTCAGATTCTGCATTTCCATTGTCTTCCCTTCTTCACATAAATCACACTTCTCTCTGCTTTCTCAACGTGGCCCTTTTTGTTAAACCCAGTCCATCGATCTTCTATTTCTCTGTTCTGTCAGCAATGGCTCAAATTTTTCTTTCCTCACAAACCCACTCTTTTCTATTGAATTGAATCCATGATTGCTATGTTACAATCCAGATTCCCTACTTTTCTCCACCTTTCATTTTTCTCCCTTTTGGAGTTTGGACACTACCTTGTTCATACACACATACTACACACATACACACAACCACACAAAGCCTCATTTCAAATGCTTGAATTAACATTAACACTGCTGGATACATACATATGTTTGTTGTTTAATGGTCAAATGTTTCTCCACTGTATTTATTTATTTCCAATTTTACACTGCCTTTCTCACACCAAGGGACCCAATGCAGCTTACAAAAATGTAAATAGAAGTTGGCTAAAA